TCCTTTCTTTGCTCAAGTTTGTATTCCTCTATACTTCTAAATTGTAACATGTTAGACTCATTTTAATTATGCTCATTAGTTATTATTCTTTTTGTTTACTGAAATGCACGGCATGAAACTAACAGAAATTTCTTCCTCACAGTTCTGGAGGTCCCTAATCTGAAATCAGGTGCCAACATACTGGGTTCTGATAAGGGTCCTCTTCTATGGTGCAGACTACCAATCTCTCCTTGTATGTTCAGAGAGGCACAGAGTTAGCCAGCCCCTTAGCCTCTTCTTACAAGTCTGCTTGGGTCCTGGGTTTGATTCCTGGTGCTGAAAACAACAAACAAACAAAACAAGTCTGCTAGCTAATCCTGATATCTTCCAAAGGTCTCAACTTCTAATACTATCTACCTCTTTGGCAATTCAGATTCCAACATAGGACTTCTAGAGAAGACAGTCATTCCATAGCGTCCTGGTAGAATATGTTCTCTATTTTGTGGTGGTCACAATGGCATAGAACATTGACTGGCACTTGGTAGGTGATCCGTGACTATTAACCTGAGTTTAAAAACCTATTATCTACCACTCCCCTCCCCCCAGCCTTCCCTAGGCTGCCAACAGCCTAGTCCAGGTTTCTACTCATGGTAATTAGCTAATTAGCATGCTAATTGCATTTCTTCCTTTCTGTCTTTCTAATTCATCTCTTTTACTGTTGGCTGATTTTCTTCTTCAAAACCTAAATTTATCTTATTATCCTTCTTAGCAGCCTTCACTGCAAGGATAAGTCAAAACTCCTTATTCTGGAATTTAAGGCTCTGCTCAGTATGACTATTAGAATTAGCTTTATCTATCCGCTTGGTCAATTCTTAAATCTTATTTTTTTCATTTAAGAAATATATATAATATAATATATAATCTTTGTATTATAATTTACAGTCAATTTAGGCAACGTGAACTGAAAGAACAAAAAAATTACACAACAATAGTTGTACTCAAAAGGAAACTGAAACTAAATAAGAAAAGCACTTGGCCCATTTACTCTGGAATAAGTGTTCCCATTCCTGAAATGCCTCTCACCTCCACTTTCCTGCTCTGGGAGAGCAATTCATATCTATAATCAGAGGTTCAATTTACTCTGTGATCGATTCTGTGTATTTTAAAAGATGATAATTTCTTTTAATGATTACAAATAAGAAAAGTTTTGTTCTTCTATAAATATTTCAATATGTTTTCTTTACCATATCCTTTTTGTTTATAAGAAACACTCCTTTGGGCCAGGTGTGGTGGACACCGCCCCCACACACTGATCTGTACATTATGCATGCTACCCGCTTTGTTTTTTTTGGTACTGGGAATTGAACTTGGGACCTTGCATTTGTGAAGCAGGTGGCAGAACCACTTAGCTAAATCCCTGGCCCCTATACATGCTATCCTACCCAAACATTCTGACTGGCAATTCCTGGGAGGCACCTTTGCACCAAACAAAACCTGGGCCCAATTTGGAGGAAAAGCGTGGGGAGGGAGCTGAGTCTTTATAGAAGAAGATTAGGGTCCTGGACAGGAAAGAAGGCTGGGATCCCCAAGTCAACACTCTTCCTCATCTCGGAGTGTTTCACGATTTCACTTTCATACCACTTCTAGTCTTCACTTGAAGGTGGTTTAGATCAAAATTCAAAATTTAAATAATGAATATGTACAAATTGGATACATATTGTTTTGTGCCATCATAAAGAGCAAAACTTATAAATTAAACCATTTTAAGTAAAAGATCAAAAGTACAAAAGCTAGAGATGCTTAATTTGATGTGGTTTATATATAACACTGTTCTTCATGTCAAAAAGATAGCACTGAATAGCATCAAACATGGATTATTTTAATATCAAAATCTATAGCATATGCATATTTCATACAAAATAACTTTGATATACTCTACATATTTTCATTTCATGATGTATTATTGGAAGGGTTTTTTTATTATTGTGAGAGAGTTATAGGCACACACACATACACACACAGAACTATAACATATGTATTTCAAAAATTACAACAAACTACGGGCTTTGCTAGAAAAGAGTTCAAATTTTCATCAATAGTATTAGGAAGAAATACTCAAGAAGACCACAACCCAGAGTCCTCTGAGCAGTCACAATCTCTTTGTAATATAGTAATTTTTTCATTAATTATACTGAAACGTAAGGCTGAGGAGGGGATGTGGCTCTGTGGTAGGTGCACAAGGCCATGGGCCCAATGCTCAGCACTGTGAAAATACACAAACTAATAAAGCAAAAGTTACTGAAAATCCCCTATACATCCATGGTAGGGATTCTTATTCATTGCTAGTGGGAATGCAAAATGGAACAGTACTTTTGAAATACACTTTAACAGTTTCTTACAAAACTCTTATTGTTTGATCCAGGAATCATGCTCTTTGGTCTACATCCCAGTGAATCAAAAACAGGCAAATTTTTTAGTGGCTTCAAGAGAAATTCTCAAGTGGGGTAAACCAAACACTTCAGTAAATGAACAAATTGTGGTATATCCACTGTTAGGGCTTGTATTTAGATGTCCCCCCAAGCCTCACGAGCTCATAGGTGGGGCTTTTCAGAGGTGACTGGATTTAGGCTGTGTGTTACTGAGTGACATGGGGTGTGTGGTACTGGAGTAGTCTACCAATTGGTTTAGCATAGTTCTGGGTGTGGATAACGGGAAGGTCTACCCTGGATGTAGTGTAGCTTGGATGACATATAAAGGGAGGCTTGGTGCTGCTGCTTTGCTGCCTCCTGCCTGCAGGCCATGCACTGTTTCTTCTCTGTGGTGCCTCTCTGCCATGCTGCTCTGCCTTGGAGGCAGCTGACTATGGACTGAAACCTCTACAAACTGTGAGCCACAATAAACCTTTCCTCCTTTAAATTTAGGTATTCAGTATTTTGTCTCAGCAAGAAGAGTAATTAAGACAATCATATAGTAGAATAGTATTCAGTGATGAAATTAAACAAACTATCAAGCCACAAAAGATATGTATGAACCTTAAAAGTATATTTGCTCAATGAAAGAAGCCAATTTGAAAAGACTATGTATGGTACGACTCCAGCTTTACTACATTCCTAAAAGGAGGTAAAAGAATTTCAGAGATTGCTAGGATTTCAGCTGGGTTGGGGGTGAATAAAGGAACATAGAGAATTTTTAGAACAGAATAAATATTCCATATGGTACAGTAATAATGAAACTATCATTATGTATTTGTTAAAACTAATAGACACGAAATAAGCAGTGAACACTTGTACAAGCCTGAAAGTTAGTCGACAACAATGTATTACTAGGGGGGTCACCCATTATAACAAGTGTACCACACTAAAACACAATGTTAATAACTGAAACTGTAGGTTGGGCCCGAGGGGTACCTGGAAATTTTCTGTACTTTTGAATTAATTTTTTGTAAACCTAAAACTACTCTAAGATTTAATTTTAAAAACTTAATCTCCCCCTCCCCGCCCCCCCCCGTCTCTCATAAGGCAAAAGCAAAAACTAAGACACATAAACTACAAGATCAAACCAAGCCCATATAAGACATTGCCAGGGCCCGCGGTCCGGTGAGTTAATTCTGGGGGAGTTTGAGGCCCATGCTGACTTTGCCCCGTGGGCTCGTTGGTATGCAGGAGATTCTTCCTCCCTGTAGCAGAAGGAAGACCCATAAAAACCCTGATGTCACCGGACACCACAACATCGGCTGAGGACCTGATGCTTCGGAACAATGCACTGGAGGTTCAAGTCTCATTTTAGGGGAAGATTCAGGTTCCCTATTAATTTATAGTCAGTCTTTACAAGAACACTTCGTCCATCTTTTCCTACCCCAGGGCACCCACCATCGCTGCTCCCTGGGTCACTGACCACCTCCTCTGATGTGTCTCAATAAATAGTGGCAGACTTGGGTAGACTTTTGTCTTTGCCCAACCGAGGCTCTGACTTCCAGCCCCCAGTGTATCTGGCAAATTGTCTTTGTTTTTTATCCCTCACTCTACCCCTCAAGCAAGCAGTTGTGGGATTTGACCAGTCCTCAGTAAAACAAAATTCTGATAAAATGGTAAAACAACTTCTAGAATAATGAACTGTGACTGGAGAGTAAGACTTTCTGTCAGTCTTACTTAGTGACACCATGGGCATTCCAGTTGTTCCCTCTTATTTCTGAGGTGCCTTAGGTGTTGCATCTGTGATGATCCAGATGTATAGAGGAAACGTCAGAGTTCTGCAGGCCCCATCACTCTGAAACCTACCATGGTTCAGTGTTCAGTCAGGTTTTGAGTCAGGTCTCAAATCATTAAATCCTTAATCATTTCCTGAATGGCTACACCTTAACAGAATCAGAGCTATGCAGAGTACACCAGAGATCTCAATGTAAACAACTATCTTAGATTGTGGGGCATCTCATGATCCCTGGGAAGACTTTGCCTTGGGTAAGCTTTTCCATAGCTCTGAGAGACAAGAGGTACTTCCCAAGCTGAGATGTACCCCAGGGGCCTCTAGAGGAGGGCTTCTTTATCACCATGTGGATGAGCGGAGAAAAGCAAAAGGTTCTAAGTTCAAGTTAGTTGACAGGAGGGATTGGTGGTATTGGACAATCTTTGATAACTAAATTCATGTGAAAATTTTGGATCCAAATAGCCCATTTTTTCTAAAACCTCCTCTAAATCCACACTTCAATTATAGAGATGTACAAAACGCAGCACACCCTGTGAAGATTTCAGAAAGCAAAGCACCCATTGCTCCCCAGCAGAACTCCCCCCGACTATGTGTGGCTAGATTGGTGCTGTGCAATAGCCTGGCTTCTCTGTCTCATCTGACTTCAAATGTAAGGATAATATATGCTGAGCAATTATTTTTTAACATACTTCACATGGGAGATACAAATCATAAAATGCTACAAGGCCATAAGAAATTCAAGGTACGCTTAGTATTTCTGATAATATTGTCTATTTGTATATTACAGTTTCACACCAAAGACAGGATTCAGTTGTTACCTTGTGATGAGAACTTCTGCTGTCCTATCAGGGTAAAGTACTGAATCCTTTCACTCTTCGAATGAGTAATTCTTGAAGTGTCTCCAGTAGATCTAAGGGAAAAGAAAAATATATAAAAGAACATTAGAAAGCTTCAGTCAATGTAAGCATTTTTGTAAGTTGTTCAAATTATCCTTTTGCTATGATAAAAAATTTCCACATATCTTGCAACGAACTGTCTCATACAAAATAATTAACATTTGGAGAAGACATAAATTTCAAGATACTTTTCTTTCTTATACCATTATAATGTCCCCCTTATTCACTTATAAATGAATGTCTTTTCCTGTTAAAGAGCCATTCACAAATATTTTCCACAATGATTTGCTTAATTTTTCCTAGACAAAAATTTTTTTTGGTCTCATTAGTAATAAGTTTTTTCAAGAGAAATGGAACATTAGGTTTACATAATCCTCTGTGGCTTTCCCAAGGCTGTTTTATTACTTTGCTCTACTAAGAGATAAACTAGCACATTTTGGTCCCTAATCTCCTATACTTAAATTTTTTTCTGACCTAAAAATCCCTAGCAGCGCCCTAAGTACCCCATCAAGTCTATAATAATGCTGACCTGAGCCAGTAAAAAGTATGCTCTGCCAGCATGTTCTGTAAGATAGCCTTCCATCAACACAAAGTTCCAGCCATCCTTTTTTGGAACTAGCAAAGAAAATAAGCTGGCTTTGGCGGTTGATCACAGACTGCTCTAATTCGATGAGTCCATTTTCCACAGGCTTTTCTTGGCAAACGTCTTCTCACTGCCTGCAAACTGACTATGTTTCTTTGTAAACTTATTTAGCAATTCTACCCAAACACCACCCTTTACAGCCCTAAAGAGTTCCTACTATTATTACTGAAGACATATTTTAAAGAAGACTTTCAGTGGAATATTTACTTTGGGAGCTCTTAACCTTAGGGCCCGTTATGCGTGCATCATCATCCACAGAAGTGTTTGGGGAAATGGGATGTCAATGGCATAGTAATGTGCAAAGCTGGAAAGATCTGGAAGCCCAGGCTGTACTACAGGCTCTAGAATGTGCCCCGCTGATCTGCTTGGATTCTCAAAAAATCTGCTTATGAAGGCTCTTATTACAATGATGTGAGTTTGATGGCCTTTCCAAACTCTACTTATAAGGGTCATTCTGCATATCTTTGGATTTTGTAGGAGCAAGTCATTAGAAACCAGGAAAAGTGGGACAAGGAAGTTCTTCGAGGCAGACATACAGCAGGTTGTGTTGTTATTGTTGTTGTTGTTATAAGTAACAGTCTTATCATTCAAGGGTAATTTCCTTGTAACTGGTGTATATTAATTATAGAGAATTAGTGAGTTTCCTGTTGGCATAGTTGTACACACCTGTAACACACTTTGGTCATTTCCCCACCGGCCCCTTTACACTTGTTAGCCTTTCCTTCCCCTTCTCCAAAACTCTTCATTCTCTAGTAGTTCAGCATGGGTAATTTCTTGACTCTCATGAATCAAGTTAAATATTTAGAAGAACAACATGTATAAATCAAAAAATCTTAAAATGGAATAAGACACATAAAAGGGCATTCTTTACAGGGATATTTATATGAGGTTCTAGAAATTGCAAAAATAAGGTATAGTAATAATCAGAACAATTGCTGTAAGGGATTAACTACAATTTAGTATGAGGGGACTCTCTATAATAATAGAAAATTTTTAAGTATTGATAGATACTGGTTATATGAGTACATATACCTTATAAAACTCATGGAACTGTGCCATTTAAATTTATACAGTTTATTGTAATTAACTTATAACTCAGTTTAGAAAGAAACAAATGAACATTGTGACTTAAACTCACTTCTCAGATACTAGAATTATTTTGAATCAGGTAACCTTTAAGAAATCATTATCTCCTTCCTAATCAGTAAAAATCAATTCACCATTCTTTCAATTATTCATCCACTTATGAAGGATTTACCAAGCATAAATATATACGGAATTAGCGGAATGGCAGTGTACCAGAGAAGGTAATGATTAACTAGAAATGGATCCACTGATAGGGAAAAGTAGTAACTAAACAGAAATAGAGCCACTAATACAGAGTTTAGAATCTGTTAGGAGAAAATGTGCATTTAAAATGGCAAAATTGGCCAGGCTGAGCCACTTGGTGAGACCCTGCCAGGAAGGAAGGAAGAGAGGGAGGGGGGGGAAGGGGGATACGGTGGGGAGGTGAGAGGCTTGGGATATAGCTCAGGGATAGAACAGTTACCCAGCATCCGCAAGATTCTGGGTTCAGTCCTCAGCACCAAAAAAGACAGACAAACATTCTACGAAGTGGGCAAAAACAGCGTTATGGCCAAGTCATTGAGAAAAGTCCTATGTTTTATAAAGACCCGCATCAAAAACAGAATAAAGTCTTCTAAAATAAATTCCAAGCTAATCTGATCTGAAAATATTGGTGTTCACTGAGTCATTAAAATCTACTTCAGAAGAAAAGCAGACAGAAAATATTTTCCACTAAACTATGTCACTATATTCTTTAATGTATCAATGAAAAAAGTAAACATATTTTCCAGTCAATTTGTTTGACCATTAATTTTTTAACAGAATTTGGATCTCTTGAATCCTAATGCAGTTTACACATAAAGCTGTCCATGAGGATAACATGGTGTTAAGTGACCCTCTTTCTCATGAGCAAATCCCAGCTGGGAAGACAGGTGCATCTATTTCCAGTGGCTGTTGCCAATGAGGGATTTTCAAACTCTCCCAAAAACAAACATTATGCATACTCACAATAAATGCAAACTTATGACAGGAGTAGTACTGGAGATACAAAGTATAATCACGAATAGTCTAGCATCCTAGAATAAAATACTTTCAGGTAAGTATATCCCCTTCACAACCACCCCCACACTCTTAAATGAAATCTGTCCGTGGGCAATCCTGTTTTTTAATGCTCATGTGAAATTTCCACTGCATATTATTGTTACAGACAGCTAAGTCAGACAGACACTAATGTTCAGTCAGAGAGGTATTGGGCCCTAGAAGTCAGTACAAAAGATGAGAAACACCAAAACTGTTGCTGGAGATGAATCTGAAGAGATTCAGGCCTCAAGATGGAGTCCAAATAGCCAGGCCCACAAGCCTCCCTACAGAGAAGTAGTGGCTTGTGATTATACTATAATTAGCACCATCTGGTCTCACAAGCCCAGCTAGACATCAGACACCTAGGTGGGTGACCAGAAATCTGGACCCATTCCAGGAATGCCTCTGTTATATCTACAATTAGAAGTTATAGCTGGGGATTTAGCTCAGCAGTTCAGTGGCCTGCCTTGCAAGTGCAAGGACCCGAGTTCAATCCCTGGTACCAAAAATAAATAAATAAATAAATAAATAAATAAATAAATAAAAGAAGTTATAAGTAAGCTAATGTTAATGATGCTTGTTTGTTTGTTTGTTTTTGCGACAGGGTCTCACTATGTAGCCCAGGCTGGTCTTGAACTCACAGCGGTCCTCCTGCCTCAGCCTCCTGAGTGCTGGGATTACAGGCGTGCACCACCACGCCTGGGGCAATGATGCTTGTTTATATCCATGCTGTGTGCTTCCCTTCCCTATTGGATCAATATCAGCTAAATGACTATACTTGTACTCCTATAGGCTGATTGTTGCTTGATCCGTGTTGTACCCACTTTGAGATTTTGCTGTGGAAAACACCCTTAAGAGAAAGGCTCAGCGGCTACCCACTTGATATTACCCACTGGAAACCTAGGAGCCTTCTGTTTTTTTTCCCCGATATAACTCTCCAAATATCCTCCTTTGGCTCATGACCTCATTCCTCAATGTTGTGAGATCAGGAGCTCAGTACATAGGACATTATTAAAGATCTTCTTGTTCCTTTTTCTGGCTTTCTAACCTATGTGTTTAAAATTCTTTACAGATGGGAAAATTCATTTTAGTATTACATGCATGAAAGAATATATGAGAAAAAATGAATTATGAGCCATAAAATTAAGTTATTGAATTCCCAATCCTTTTAAGGAAGCCTGTCCTATTGTCTACTTTGTGAAACTGTCTACATGTGATTTGTTAAAGAATGCTCTAAGATGGAACTTGTGAATAACAGAGTGTAATTCACAACTTAGCTTCGGAATGAGAAAGCCATGATGAATAATAAATGTCCCATGCTGAGTCAATCAGATGTCTCCAACATGAACTTCTCACTGGTCTCTAGACATCTTTCCTGCTTCCGAGCAAACAGTGCAAGGTTTAGGAAATGTTCTACTGACAGGAAGGAAAATGGCCACTTGAACCTCAAAGGCACTGGAATTTTAGATAAAAACCTCAAATATGAGAGACATCCCATACCCTCAGGAAACATTCCTAGATTTCCGTAAAAACTGTAAAGTAATATTGTACTTTCTTGCCTCTGGTCAGTGAACATCTGAAAATACTTCATTTTTGGTTAGGACTTGTAGTTCTTGTTTATGAGGGTTTCACATAGTTAATATTTAAGAAAAAGTGTATACTTCGAACAAATACCTATTTTAAAAAACATGTTTTCTTTTGTTCTACAAACAAATAATTGATGATTAGTAGAGGTTGGCATAAAGGAACATTTTCCTAGCATTCTCACATAATTTTTTCAACTTCTCTTTAATTCCACTTTCATACTTTTGGTTTTATATATATATATATTTTTTTTTCTTTCTTTCTGACAATGTGAGAATCAAACCTCTGTGTTCCTCGTCATTCTTTGAGATTCACATTTTTAATATATTGTATAATAGAGATAATGTAAAAAAATTATGGCATTGACTTTGTAAAAATTGAAGAACTTCCTAAGTATTGCCACTTAATGCTTCTTTTCCCCCATCTCAATCTACTAGATACATAATTGTGGGATAAAACCCTAGGTGCTTTTCTTTTCTTTTTTCTTTCTTTTTTTTCCCCCTTGGTACTGGGGATCGAACTCAGGACCTTGAACTTGCCAGGCAGGTTCAGGGCCACTGAGCTACATTCGCAATCCGATCTTAGGTGATTTCTAATGTCTCCTGCAGGGTCACAGCTTTCTTCTCCAGTGACTCTC